ATTTAGACTCTGTCTGTTTTATGCTGCACACCTTTTCCTAGTCTTCCTGCCTCTAGCCTCCCTCTCCTCTGATCCATCCTCACCACACCACTAACAGGAGGGTCCTTCAAACAAATGCTGTCATGTCACTTGGGTGGAAATTTTCCAATAGAAGTCCATCAAATTAAATTTTAGCTCTTTGCATGACACTCAAACCCAATATAATCTCATCATTTCTGCTCATTTTGCACCAGCAAGCCTAACACGCCGCTCTTGTGAACACTTAAGAATTTCTTGAAAATGCCAGTATTGCCCAGGTCTCTGCTGCCACAGGCTGAGTTCTCTCAAAGCTCGGTTCCTGCTTCACCTATCTCAGTAGCTTCCTCTCGGGTCTCGGCTCAAACGCCACCCTTCAGTAAGGCTTTTCTTCCTTAATTCAAGTGGGAATTCAGTGTTAGTTACCATTTCGCTTATGCTACTAGGAATGTTTCAATTATAAATACATCATATTATATAATTACCTGCCATCACTTTGATTTCTCGTTAGACTCCTAAGGATGAATGAATAAATGATTTTTTAAAAAACATAGCGCTAATTGTGTCATCAAGAATCTTGGAACTCCTAAATATCCCCAAATGAAGGAGTTAGTATATGGAAGCTGAGTACTGTTTTAGTTCTAAACCAGCCTAGTAGTTATATTGGGGCACCTGCCATCATGACGTCAGTGTGCTGACAAAAATGTCCACTCCTTGTGACATAAGGAAAATGATTTTCCTCTTTAGCAGTTTTTTGAAACTATGTATTTGGTTTTCCAGTTAATGATTTTCCTACCAACTCTATCTCAGATATCACTTCTTTTCAAAGGTAAGGAGATTTATTAATTCATTTATATATGATTTATATTTTAGAGATTTATTCTATAGCATTAAATTTTTGGAGTCAGATTTTAAAAGTTTTAAAAATGTGAACATATAGGTGTATCAGTAATTGATGGTTCATAATCTTTTCATCACTTATGTTTGACTCATTTTGCATCATCAAACCTAATGTACAGTTCTAGTGAATACTCACGATCTCCTGAATACTCCCGCATAGCCCTATGCTAGCACGTTCTGTGCTCTTTTAGAGCACTGTTCCTGCACTTCCCCTATTACATTAACTTCCTCTCATGTCTATTAAAATAGTAATTATATCCTTCTGTACTCTGCTTCAGAAAGCATTTGCAAAGCCGCCTTCTAACTAATAAGCCATTACAGTGAATCATGTTGAGAATAAATCTGTAAATTTAAGAAAGATATTTAATATTTTTGTAAGAAATTTGTTTTAAGATAAATAACTTTATCACTTTAAAAAATTGTATATGCAATCCCAAATGGCTTTTTCTCAGAAATTAGAGATTTGACCCTAAACTTCACATGGATATTCAAGAAATCCGAAACAGCCAAAAAAATCTTGGAAAACAACTACAAAGTCAGAGGACTCACACTCCTGGTTTCAAAACTTACTACAGAACTATAGAAATAGTGTGGTAAGGTTACCAAGTTTAGACATACAGAGCAATGGAACAGATTGAGAGCCCAGAAATTAATGCTTACATATATGGTCAGTTGATTTTGACAAGGATGCTAAGACAATCAAATGGTAAGAGAATATTCTTTTCAACAAGTAGTGCTAGGACAACTGGATATCCACGTGGAAAAAAATGAATTTGGACCCTTATACTGTATACAAAAATTAACTTAAATGATCAAAGACCTAACTGTAAGAGATAAAACTATGAAACTCTCAGAAATACATGTAGGAGAAAATTTTGATGAAATTAGTTAGGCAATCGGTTCTCAGATATGACACCAAAAAAAAACAAGAAACAACAGAGAAATAAAGTAGACATCATGAAAATTAAAAGCTTTTGTGCTTCAAAGGGCATAGAAAGGAAAAGAATATAATTGTAATTATATATCTTATTAGGGTCTTTTATCTAGAATATAAATAACAATAAAAAGATTGAAAAATGAGCAAAAAGCTTGAGTACATTTCTCAAAAAAAAATAAGTGATATGCAGATGGCCAATAATCACATAAAAAGACAGCCAATATCATTAGCCATTAGGAAAATGCAAATTTAAGTTATAGTGAGATTACTTTATACCCACCAAAATCACTAGAATCACAATGAGACTAGTAAGTGCTGGTGAAGATTTGGAGAAACTGGAAACCTTGTATATTGCTGGTGGTATAAAATGTAGCTACTTTGGAAAACAGTTATGTACTTCTTCAAAGGGTTAAACATAGAGTTAACATATGTGTCAGCAATTCTACCTATTGGTATATAATTAAGAGAATTGAAAATCCTGCACGTGAAAGTTCATAGCAATATTTTTCATAATAATCAAAACATAAAAACAACCCAAGTTCCCATTAACCAATAATAAATGAATAAACAAAAGTGGTATATCCAGACACTGGATTATTATTAGGCAATAAAAAGGAATGAAGTAGCGATTCATGCTGCAACTTGGATGAACCCTGAAAACATTATGTTGAGTAAAAGGCTTTTCATAAAAGACCATGTAAGGTATAATTTTATTTATATGAAATGTTCAGGATAGACAATCCATAGAGAAAGAAAGCATATTAGTATTTGCTGTGGGCTGGTGGGAACAGAGATGAATGGGCAGTGACTACAGTGGTTTTAGGGGTTCTTTTTGGTGTAATGAAAATATTCTGAAATTTGATACTGGTTATCTTTTGTGAATATATTAAAAACCACTGAATTATACATTTTAAAAGGGTGATCTTTTTTTTGTATTTGAATTATATGCCAAAAAAGCCATTTTTTAAAAATTATAGGTACATATACTTAGTAGTGTTTCAGAAATAAAGCTCCTCACCCCACAATAAAACAAAGAATAAATTTTTAAAATCATCTAAAATTCTATTATTTAGTGCACATCATTTCTAACTGCTCTCTATGCATATCATAATGTACATAAATGAATGGGTGGTGTGATAGAATTATTGGTTTCAGTTCTATCCCTTGTAATAGTAATTGACATCTATCCCTTTGCCATGGCTTAATGATGGTTGGAATATATTTCTCGTTTGAATTTGGTCTTTGCCGTATGTCTTGCTCTAACCAACAGGATAAAAATGCCTGTAAGGCTACAAATGTGCTTGTACAGATGGGTTTGCACTGTGACTCCTGCCATCACCACAGGAAGAATATGCTGCAGAGAGATTGCCGGCCCCAGGAGACACCTGGGGCGGATTTAACCCAGTTGGTGCCATGGAGTCAAGTACTACTAAGTCCAGGTAACCCACAGATGCTTGGATGCGACGTGAATGATTCTTGCTGTAAGCCACTGTGATTCTGAGGGTATTTGTTATGCAGCATTTTCGGGGAATGGGTGGCTAATAGAAAAGTATTATTTCACTTCATATGAGGTCATATCATACATGCTATGTTTTTGTGAAACTAAGATATATATCTTCACTTGAAACTGATGGGAAAAATTGAAATGGAACAGAAAAAATATATCCTTTGGTAAATGTTTCATCAATGTAAGATATAACCTTTCTAAACCCACTAAAGTAGTGACAAAAATGTTATTGAAAGTATGGAATCATTTGCCAAGCACTTGCATGTATTTCAGGCAGTACCTACCGATTTGCTGTTAAGAATGAAGAGGAAATAAGGTTTCCCACCTCTTCAGCAGCCATCCTCATTTTTGTTAATTTTATTATTTATTTTGTTAATAAACAGCTAATATAAATACATCAAAGACACTTAATAAA